TATTTATGTTTATCTAGATTACCACAAACAACTGTGCATAGAGGCAATTAAAAATGTATACAATTATTATGTGTACAGTGCGTTCGGTTCTACAAAATAATAAATAATACATATACATACACATATAATATATATGTACATGTACTAGTTATGTATACATATATGTATACGAGTATGTGCATGGATATTGTCGCACTACGAGTTTTGTGATGTGAATGCATACAAAGTTAAAAGTCTTCCGTGCTTGCTATTGGTGAAGTGTGTGGGGGCTTGTTCGCCGGCACACACGGTTGACTTGAAAATACGACAATAAAAATATTTCTAGAATTCGGCTGTACCCACATTCGGAAAGTAAATGCGCAAAGTTCATTTTGTTACTATATCTATACGAATATAATACTAAATAAATAAAAATAACTATTCACGATTTCAATACAAGAGCTTTTGATATTTGGTTTTGGCTTTGTTGTAGTTGTTGTTTGATTGATGGTGAGCTCATACTTGTTATTGTTTTTCTTCATTTATTTTATTAGTGTTTTTTTTATTTATTTTGTTTTCATGATTTCCTTTGGCTCATTTGGCCTCCAAAAGGCATAATCAGTCGACTTTGTCGTTTATATGTCGTCGCCGCCAATTCGACTGCGTAAATCGCCGTTGTTGCTTTGAATGCGATCATTTTCTCTCCCTCTCTCCCTCTCTCCCTGTCTTTCTCTCTTTTTCTTGCTCTCCTTTTCATAAATTTGCTCAAACTGCTTTGTCGCCCACATTTATACGTCAACGAAAGAAGTTTGTTCATTAAACGCGGCATCTTTAATGAGTACGCGCTCTCTAGAAAAATCGATTTATCGGTGCTGCTATTTCACGCTCATTGGAGATCGTACTGCTGTCATGCTAACCGTGGGCCAATAATTTCATTATCTTAGTTAATGTAAATTGAATGATTAAATTGTAACTGTTAATATGTAGAGGATGTTCGGTAGTTGTTTGATAACGCTGCTCACATGAGCTGAAAATATTGTCAACAATTTGCAGTCCGTTTCTATGTGGACAAACACCTTAATGTCTACGGTACGGGTCCACTTGACTTACTTTATTTGAAGTGCTTGAGGCAATCAAAAAACTCAGGATCATAAATAAAAAGAATATTTATAAAAAAATATGCACATTCACACATGCATATGGATGTACTCGTGTGTACACACTTATTTAATTTTTACAAATTTTATTGCTAAATAACTTAGTTTATTTGAATACTAGTATATATAAATAAATATATATATATATAGGTGTATGCTTACATTTGTACTTATATCCCCAGCAGTAACAGGTAAAGCCTTGGAAGTGAAGAGGAAAAGTGAAAACTGCGCCTTTGACGCCTGAATTCATCGCGCCGGTGAATTTCATCCAAAAATTTTATACAACCGAACCTCGAAAAAATTATAATTTTTTTTTTATAAATGTCAAATTTTTTTTCTCCACTTTTGCGATGTTTAATATTATGTATCGTCAACTAAAAAGTTTTTCATGTTTTCCTAAAGTTTATTCTTCACATTAAATAATAACATAAGCTCAAATTGGAATTAATTTATAACACAACAAAAATAATGGAAATGTAGAAAGGAAAGAAAAATTTAATAAAATATATTTTTTCAAGTTTTTCTCTCCACATACATTTTAATCTATTTTGTGTTGAAACCTTATGCTTTCCACGAGTTTGACTTTCGGTAGGGATTATGGATTTTTTTTAGAATTTTTATTTTTTTTTATTTGTGATTTCGGTTTTGTCTACATTCCATTTGTTTTCAATAGGATTTAGGTCAGAACTTTGGTCTGGTCAATCTTAAACGTCAATCTTTTCAAAATTCAAATAATTAAAATCTAGTTTAGATGAGCATTTGGGGTAGTTTAGATGAGCATTTGGGGTCGCCATTAATTTCCATTAAGAGCGGAAGAAATTTGCCATGCCAAGAAAATGTTCTCTACTTCCGCCCTTCCCGTCTTCTGAGTGCACCTGGAATTATATTATTGGCTTGTGGGGTGATGAAAAAGACTCTGCCATCTGGTCCTATCCTGAGCATTTTAATTTACAAAAATTTTTGTTTTCACAGATGTATGCTCCGATTTTCAAGTAAACTGTACTATAAATAAAATTTTTTCGCATAATTCGGTGCCTGATAGGTTTTTTCAAATAGGTCTGGTCTACACCCCGAAAGAAATTTTCGTTCAAATTTTTCCTGTAACAAAATTAAGATTTTTCAGTATAATTTGCTAGGTATTTGAGGAGATCACTGGAAACACGTTTGTTTGCATGTAAATATAGTTGTAGAAGAAGATTACAAGGCAATTTCGCATACCATTGTTTCATATTTCTTTGGATATTTCAATACAAAATGTTAGTAACGATTTTTATTATTCAAATTTATACGCCAGCAACATGTTTATGTCTCGTGTTTGCGTTTTCTGCAAGAACTAAAATTTTTGTGTTTGCTTCTGCCTTTTGAGAGTTGATCTGCCTTACCTCCTCTTCACTTCCAAAAGGTAAGGCCATACCAAATTTGCTGCAGGGTTGGTATGTTTGTACTCGTATGTATGTATGTTTTTATATGAATACTTGACTTTTGTATCGCTGCTTGCAAAAAGTCACCGACATACAAGTGTTTTTATTTGCTACTTACATATTATATATACATACATCCATATGTGTGAACAAACACGCTTCCATAAATTTATACGTACATAGATATGTATGTATGTAGAAGTATATGCTTAAAAGCGAATTATAACTTATTACTCATACCATTTTAAAATCTTGTTTACCCTTTGTTTTGTTGAGTTTCGCAGTTTTGTTATTTGTTTATAATTTTACCTTAACCGGTTGTTGACTTCACAAACTTGAAGAAATACTAATAAATCGAGTTTTAACGTTTGCACAAATATGTTATTGCATATACGTATGTACGAGGGGATTAACAAAAGTTCGGTCAGTTGGCGACTTTCAATTTGTTGTTGCTTACTTTAAACATATCCAACCCTTTGCAATTATTTTATTTGACTTCCTTTCATATTATAGAAAGATCGGCTAAATTGGAGACGAGAAAACGCAAGATAGCTGAGAATAGGTTAGACGAAATTCTACCCTCAACACAAACAGAAATTCCCCATGTGATTCTCTTCGGGCTTCGGCGTAATTTTCAGCCTGTACAAATATTCAGGGAATGCCAAATTGCATATGGAATGATTGCACTGTCTTTATAGACTATTTCTAAGTGGTTCCGAAGATTCCAGACCGGATATATTTCCACGATTGACTCAAGAAATGATTGCTAATGATCATCTGGGATATACCGAAGAAATCTGCTCGATGTCCAAAAGAGTCTCGAGTTCATTTTGCTAAATGTTTACAAAACAAATTCGAAAATGGTCAGCAACTTTAGTAAAGTAGTTACAGGTGACGAATTTTGATTCTATAATTAGGATCCAAAAACTAAACAAAAAACCATGGTATGGATCCCAAAAGGACTCCAAACCCCACCCGATCTAAAATCGTAGCTGCTATTGCATTGGAAAAGGGTCAGACGGTAGCTACAAAACGGTACTGAAGAGTGCTTCGGAAATGTTTTCAGATATTTGTTGGCAAACAGGAAGAAAGAGGATTTGCGGCGCTATTTTTTATATCATGACAACGCACCATCCCACACTGCTGAAGTAACGAGTATTTTCATTGCGATCTCTGGGATCGGGGAAATACGTCCAGCAGATGTAGCACCTTGAGATTAAAAAAAAAAAATTAAAAGAAAGGTCTTTTATCAAGTTGCTATAAAAGACTTAGAAAGCAAGACTTTGAAGATTGTTTTCCGAAGTAGATCTATGGGCTTAAGAAATGCATTGAAATCAGTGGCGATTATGAAGAGAAGATAAACAAGGACAAAGATTACGAATAAATACGAAAATAACTTTTTTTCATGATCAACTTGCCGAACTTTTGTTAATCCCCTCGTATATACATATTTTTGTGTACAAGTATATAAACCGAAGAAAGCACGCTAATGTCATATGAATGAAATAAGTTCGCCGTTTTTTTTCGAGAAAAGATTCATACTTTCTGAGAAATTTTACACAAATGTGATATTATTGGAAAATATGCATACATATGTATGTATGTTATCTTTTATAATTAATTTCCTTCTTTTAATTAAATATTAATCCGAATTACAGCGTAATTACTCAAAGCTGAAGTAACGGAAGAGTCAATACAACATTTTTTGTTAAGCTACTAAGAGACCACACATCTGATCAATAAATTATTTCTTAGAAAATCGTACATTTTGACAACGAAATAAGATTATTATTTCGTAAAAACGATTAAAAATTGCTGAGGCTGTGGTTCTATTGCGTTAGAGGGCTTAAGTGTAGTACTATTGAGATTACTTTACTTACAGCGTAAGAATAAATTTCACGTTAATCGAAAATCGTTTCGCTTGGAACATTTGGAAATTTGATCGTTAAAGCAATTATCAAAATAAATTTTATTCTCTTTTTATCCGGAACGAAAAGCTGCTGTTAATGTTAAATCGTTAACAGATAATGTTAAAATTGCAGTGCGATGTTATTATTACAGCAGGCATCCATGACGTCGAAACGAAACAAAATCATTTCGTTATGTTTACTTTTCACATTAACAGCATTGTTATGTATTACGAAGTGAACGTTCGATTCGTGTCAGACAGGAATTGTGAGCATATTTGATTCAAACACCCCCTAGTCCGTTCGAAAGTTCGTAATAAACCTATCATACATACATACATATATATGTATTTGTATATTCAAAAAAAGTAAACACTTTTCTATGGTATAAATTCAAAAATTACTTTGTCAGCCTCCGGAAGTTCCAGCAGAATATACATTTAAAAAAATTATAAATAAAAAAAAAATAGTGTTTGAGCTTTGTAACCCATTTTAAATGCACATTATCTAATGAATTTTTTTTAATTTTTTTTTAGGACAAAATGCATGCGAGAAGAAATCATATATTTTCCTGCGCAAAGAACTGCCCGTACGCTTGGCAAATATCATGAAGGAAATCGCCTTATTGCCCGACCACTTGCTAAACACTCGATCTGTGAGCCAGGTGAGCTCATGGTATGTACAAAGTTTCGAGGAGGTATTGGAGTTCGAGAAGGCTGAACCGACACACGGAAATTTAGAAAAGTGAGTATTATAATGAAAGAGGCCGTTTTCACAGATAATATTAATTTCGTCAAAAGAACCAAGTGGTTCTTTAAAAAATCTTATAAAACGCATGCAATATAAATTTTTGGGATAAAGAAAAATCCCTGTGTAAAGTTTCGTTTACAATCAAACTCAAATATTCCACTGTTTCAAATCTGATTTCGTTGTTTGTCTTAGATCTCTGAATACCAGGTGTGTAAGTATGAATGCAAAGTAACATTTTCAAAGTATTGTCCGATATATAGCAATCTAGACATTTTCCCCATCTTTCTGGCTATTTGTGGATTCCGCGCTCTTGTGAGTCAAACCAGTCGTGGAGCCAATTTCGTATATCTTTGTAAGAAGTCAAGCGCTGTTCCGCAAATGCGTGTCCTATCGTTGCAAACAAGTAGTAGTAACAAGTAGTAATGGGTTGGGGAAAGGTCCACTGAGTAGGCCGTATGCTGCAGAATCTCCCAACGAAACGACTCTATCGTTTCCTGTACCTGTTTTGCTTTGTGTGCTTGTGCATTGTCATGCAGCAATATCATCTTATGTTTTGTTTGCTTGTATTCTGGTTGTTTTTCACTCAAAACTCGATCCAAATCTGTCATTTGTTGTCGGTAGTGTTGAGTATTGACAGTTTCCCCAAGTTTCAGCAGCTCGTAGTAGATTACACTCTTCTGATCCCACCAAACACACAGCATTGTCTTTCGTCCGTAGCGGTTCGGTCTTGCCGTCGATGTTGATGGCTCACCCGGAGTAACCCCTGACTTTTTACGCTTAGGATCCTCGAAATATATCCATCAAACGCCTCCACGAGCAGTCGATGCGATACGGCTGCGGTTTTATTCAGATGAAAACAGAAAAGTAGTGCTGGCCGGAAAACGTATTTTAATGGCACATACATGTTTATCTCTCATAAACTAATGCTACTGAAACTCGAATTCCGGTTTCATACTTACACACCTGGTAGAAATCACTTAACGGATTTAAATAAAGAAATACCAACCGGTCGATATAATGGAAAAAAATAAAATTATTACGATTAAATGAAATTTAAATTAAATACATTTTTTTCTGGAAAAATTATAACCATTACAGTCTCGGTGCGTTCGTAAAAGACGCGACACTCGAGATTATAAAACAATATTTAAGAAATTTCCTATACACTTTTTTATGGTCTGGCGTAAGGATAAAACAAAGGAATTGACACATCTTTATATACATATATTTTATTAAAAGGACTTTTTTCTCCGATCTAATAAAAACATAATACCTACTTAAATGGCTAACCTGGTCTCTCTTATATGACTGCGGATACCGCTCTTTGCGTTTCGACCGAATGCGATTTTCACTTTCGTTTTTATCTGCACTACTTACTTACTATTTACGAAATAGTATATTAACTTTGGTACCATAAGCACTTCTTCTAAGACCCTCCAAATTGTATACCGATCGGTTCAAAACGGCGAGCTGAGTTGATTAGCCATAACCCCCAGTTTTTGAGATATTTCAACCAAACTTAGTAAGCAAATGCACCAGATCGGACCACTATGACATATAGACCCCTAAACAACCGATTTGTTCAGATATGAGAATTAATCATAAAATTAAATACTATATATTTTATATGGTCATGACAGGTAGAAAGACTTCAAATGAACTCGTTTTGTTTTGCTGTTTTAATTAACGCAAAAGAGCTAAGTGCTTTCATTTTCACATACAAACATATGTATTGTATGAATGTATTACTGCGATCTGACTGTTTTGAAATGCACTTGAACTCGCAGTAAAATGCAAGGTATTCATATATTAACAAGTTTTATGACTAACCATTGAATAGATTGACAAATATTACGCAATATTAAATTAATTATTTTCGGCATAATAAATCGTTAATGGACAATTGCAGACATACTTCAATATAAATGTCACACGCGTAAGATATTTATGAACACACTTTATATATATTATTTTTATACATATTATGCGATGTGTCTTCGAAATATGTACATAAGTATCATAAGTATGAGGGTATAATAATAAATAATAAATTGATATTTATATGTGTATTTATTTTATTTTAGATTCTGCAGCACTTTGGTGCACATACGCAATCGTCACAGTGATGTAGTGCAAACAATGGCGCAGGGTGTCATTGAGATGAAGGAACATCAGAGTGGTAGCGTTGATTGTGGTATGGAGTCATCGATACAATATTTTCTCGATCGTCTGTATATGTCACGTATCAGCATACGCATGCTAATCAATCAGCATAGTGAGTAAAAATGGCCTGCAATTATATGTACATATGTATATACAATCAGAGAATTGTTTTATTTTGTTTTTGTCTCCAGCCATACTCTTTGGGCAATTCCCCAATGAACAAGGTCGTCATATCGGTTGCTTAGATCCGGCCTGCCAGATCTCGTCCGTGGTGAGGGATGCGTACGAAAATGCACGTTTTCTTTGCGATCAATACTACTTGATTAGTCCCGAGCTTGAGATTATAGAACACAATCCACTTGACAAAGGAAATAATCCTATTCGTACAGTTTATGTGCCATCTCATTTATATCACATGCTTTTTGAGCTGTTTAAGAATTCTATGCGTGCTGTTGTTGAAAATAATGATCAGGATAAATGTGAAAAGCTGCCACCTATTAAAGTGCTGATAGCCGAAGGCAAAGAAGATATTTGCGTAAAGGTATAAGTGGAAATAATTTTATACTCTTATTTTTGTTTGATTATTCAAGGATTTTCTTTTGTTTTAGATCTCCGATCAAGGTGGCGGCATACCACGGTCTCAAAGTGATCAGCTATTCAAGTATATGTATAGCACTGCGCCACAGCCATCGAAATCCGATCTACACACAGTACCATTGGCGGGCTATGGTTATGGTTTGCCTCTCTCACGTTTATATGCACGCTACTTTCACGGTGATATAGTGTTGCTAACGTGTGAGGGATACGGTACTGATGCTATTATTTATTTGAAGGTACATATATTTCGTTTATAAAAAAAATATGCTTGATGTGATTGGCAAGATTATGTCCATTGACTATGCATAAATATGATTCATATTCTGTTGATAGGATAGTAACAAAGAGCTCGAAGTGCTTACATTGTTTTCAAATATATTTTTCTATATAATATAAAATATAAGTATGTATATTTTAAAATCATTTCTTTCTTGTTAAGAAGTCATAAAGCCAAATTGTGATATTTTTTTTATCTCCGTCCAAATAAAATTTAATTTGACTTATTTGAAACGAGCTCGAATAATTCTTACAATGTGTTTTCATGCCCAGAACACATCTTTTGATCACTTCAAAGCTTATATATTTGATGTTAAACTTTCCTCTTACCCCTATTTTATGTAACTTAATTATTATATACACATTTCTATTTTACTTATAATCGAAATTAATAATATTCCATACAGGCGCTTTCCGATGAAGCTAATGAGTTGCTGCCGATTTTCAACAAGACGAGCTCGAAATTTTATCGCGCCACAGTGCCTACAGGCGATTGGTCGAATCAGGTAAAACATCCGAAAAAGAAACAGAAAGAATTGGATGCACTTGCTGCGTAATGAATGATTGTACGATATGGAGCGTCTTTCAATTTTACGTCATCCCCAATCATATTGCTTTGTTAAAATAAGCTGTCGTTCCTTTTAATCGCAAGAAAGATACTCCAAATCAACTAACTCCTGCACTAAACGAAACCGTTTTTAATGTATTAGGGGCGAATAATAAATGAAATGATATACAATATATGCATAAGAAATTAATATATTTTCATCTCTGTTTATATATGTATGTTTTCTTTATTATATGTATGTATATAGTTTCCTCATCGTACACATGCAAATAAGATGAGCGTTACAAATTCAATTTTAGGATTTCATGATAATGTTTATGCCTACGATTTCATATTGACTAAGGCGTCTAACATTCGCGAATTCCCAGAATTGATATCGTTCATATATTTCGATAAGTTAACTGTGTTTACACTTTTTGATTGTTATATTCGGTTTGCTATAAGCACTGTTAAATAAGCATGTTTCCTTTTAGTCCTCCCCTTTTATACACGACATAAATTATTGCTAAATATTTGTTAGTAATAGAAGCGTATTGTTCTCTGTGTATGTTTGTTTTATATATTTCTATGCATACAATTTTCGATTTGTAGACTGTTTTGTTAAACAAAAAAAGAAATTTAATGAATTTAAATTAGGATTACATTCCAAATTTTGTAAATTTTTAAATAAAAAATTAAATAAAATGTACGTTATATTGAAAACATGCGCTACAAGCGATGCTGTGAATTTCTAAATAATTATGATTAGCTTTCTTGAGTCTAAAAATGCATTTATGGCAATGTCACAAACAAACACGTGCATGTCATGTGATTAAGCAGTTTAATCTTGACTTTGTCTGCTGACGATAGACATGATGTGATTTTTATTTTTCAACTCATTAAACAAACAGTTTGAAGTACTAAATAATCAGTCGAAACAGACGACCTTAATAAGTGGCAAAATTATTAATGAGTGAGGTACATACATATGTAAATATGTATAAACGTGTTATTAAGTTGAACATATTGTGCCCAGAATTTATTTAAATAAAATTACACAGCAATTGAAAAAAATGTTGCTCAAAGTTTTTAATTTTAATTATTTTTTTTTAAACGAAAGAAACGCTTTCAGAACCATAGCTTTAAAATACGTTCTTTTTGTGCAGTGTTAATTTTATGTAATAGCTTGATTGCTTTTAGTCGATACCGCACTAATTTATATGTAAATATGAATATAAAGAAACGAAAGGCACTTTTACTAATCTAAATTGTTTATTTTTTAAACATATGTATATGTATCAAAAATTTATTTTAATTTTTGTTATTTAAATGAATCTATTAAAATTGATTTGTTATCTTTACTTTTACTATTTATTACCGCATAATCGCATACGTACAGACATCTATTGAAACATGTTATTACAGACATAAAAACTAAAATAATAAAAAACATTTATTAAAAACAATTGTATGTAGTTTATTTTATTATTATTATTATTATGATTTTTCAATAATTTTTTGTAGATTCGTACATATAGTTGCTGTCACTAAAACAGAAAAACAAATTGGCATTTCTTCTGTTATATGTTATCAGTCTTCTGTTACTCTGCTTTCGTTCAACTTAGTTTTTCGCTACATCTGTGTGCTTTAAAAAAAAATTCTCTATGATTTTTCGAGTGCTGCTTTCTAACGCAAGGCGAATTCAACAAGGTGAAGCGAATTAAACTTATTTCATTTTATTGAACGTAGATATTGTCAAAATTATTAAATAAGCTTATGTTTTGTTTGCTTGATTTGAATTTGATTTGAAAAAGGTTTGTGCCAATATTCGTTACCATAATTTTTACAATCGGCACGCAAAAGCAAAAACAAAATACATAGTTGCATTTCTTTCCTGCTCTCACCTTTATGAAATCGCCTTGGCTTCTTTATCCATAAATATGTTCAAATTTGAACATCTCTATTTACGTATTCAAATATTTTTTTATATTATATATTTCAGAATTTTTCCAACCGTTGGCGTTATATATATAGCATCTTCACGTCCAAAAACAATTAGCGTATGTTTTTTTATTCAAAAATGCTTGGCACATTTTAATTGGTTTTATTTTACGACGTAAGGTATTTTAAAGCATCTACATGATTTATTCATTATTTCAAATTAATCTGGCATGCTATTTTATTATTTTATTTTCAAGAAAATTCCGAATAACTTTTATTCTTAAAAATTAGCGGTGCGTATTTCACAAATAACGGGTGGGACAGTAAACATTTATGTATTAAAATTGTTATAAAACAAATAAGAAGTGCTGTCTTCGGCCATACCGAATCCTTTATGCCTTTCATAAGCGTGTACCAAATTTCTTGTACTTTTGTTTATGTTTTGCACCAAAACCTCACATCTGATCATACATCTTATCGGTTATATGAGGGCTATATGATGTGGTCCTTCGATTTCTTAAATTTTCAGTGTCAATATTTATCATAATTCACGTGTGGAAAATACTAAATTTCACGTTCATCGACGCTTTTTTTTTTGTTTTTTTACAAATTTTGTGACACAACATCACATATCTAAACAAATCGGTTCTATACGGACTTTATGTAGGATTTCAATGAGTTTCAATATGCAAATCGTTATATGTGTAGAATTCCACATTTCATGTTCCTTGATGCTGTATTGAAGTAAATAACTTATTTGAAGAAATCGGATGTAGAGGTCAGGTTCGACATATCAACAATATAATGGGTATCCAAAATGAACCAAGGATTTAAATTTGTTGCCATTTATGAAATGCTGCCAACAATAAAATCAAATCGACAGGAGACAGTTTCTTCATTATTGAACAATTTTTAAAAAATATCTATCATTTTTTATTTAAAATCACAAGTCTATTTTTTATTTAAAATCACACTTAAGAGTTTCGTGTTTATTTGAATTTTGGAAGGTATCTTCTAAGTCCGGATAGAACCTTTCGCTTTGCTCGTCACTCACAGTACTCTATGTTGGCGGATAAAATCCAATTGAGTATCCAACGAACATATGTATGTTTAATGATATACGAGGTGTGCTCAAAATAATCGCGAATTATGTGTTTTTTAAAAAAATATTTATTTATTCATGAATATCTATTTTGTCCTTCAAAGCATTCCCCATGAGATTTTTTTTTTGTTTTTCCAAATTTTGAAGCATTTCAAAAAATCATTCTTTTTTATCTTGTTCAGCGCCTCCTTCGATGCCGTCTTTATCTCGTCAATCGTAGCGTAACGTCGTCCTTTCATGGGCCTCTTCAGTTTAGGGAACAAGAAAAAGTCACAGGGGGCCAGATCCAGGGTATACGGTGGTTGCGGCATCATTAGTATGTTGTTTTTGGCCAAAAAGTCGTGCACAAGCAACGATGTGTGAGCAGGGGCGTTATAGTGGTGCAAAAGCCAATTTTTGTTCTTCCACAAATCCGGGCGTTTGTGGCGGATTGCTTCGCCCCTGCAATTAATTTTTTTGTCTGTTGTTCTCATCTTATCGGCCTTCTGAGAACATTTTGTACCACCGATAAACGTTGCTTCGGTCCAAGGTAGATTCTCCGTATGCCACAGTCAACATCCAGAATACATCCGCGCACTTCATTACGTTTTGTCACACATAATTTGATACAGGTTCTTTGATCCATTTCTTTGAATAGGTAAAAGTCGAAGACCATCCAAAACACGTGCAAGCAAAGCAGCTGTCAACAATTAAGTGAATATTCAAAATGGCCGAGCTTGTCGGCATAAGTGCCTCAAAAAAATCGAAATTCGATTATACGTAACCCGCGAAAATACAAAATTCGCGATACTTTTTGAACACACCTGGTTTTCTTTCAAACTGGAACAGACTCGTAGAGTAAATCATAAATTTATAGAGAAGTTGGAATTTTTTTGGATTTTACTCAATTTCTCATCACACATTTTTTAGGCTACAATTATTACATATACATACTACATATGCAGGTAAATCGTATTAACACGCACATTTTAATTTACAGAGCTCGGACATGAATGCAAGACAGATGAATGCATCAGCACCAAAACGCTACAATGACATATTATAGGCCGAGCCCAGAAGAGCGGCAATGGATCAGCAGTCAAAGCAAACTCTAACGGGTATCAGACCTACAAATATTTGAATATCACAAACTCAGGATGGGCGCGTGTGCGAACGCAACATAGCGGGAGTGAGGAGAAAAGTGTTAGAATCTTTTGTACAGAAGATTACTAATAAGAGGTAGTAATGATTAACATATGAAGTACTAATATATCGAAAAGCGACGCATAAATTATCAAAACTTCAGACAAGTAAATAACGGCGTTTTTTAAAGTAAAAATTTAGCATTATTGCAACAAGTAGTAAGAAATCATAGTATATAGTATAAACATAGAGAATTGTGAAATTGTGTAGTAGAAGAATAGTATAATTTATGCAACAAGTAGTAAGAGAAATTTCTATAAACCTAGGATCATAACAAAAGAAAAAAAAAAATAGACTAAAGGCTCGAAGTTTGAAATAATGGAAAAGTTTGTTATTGTAAGAAAAAAGTATGCCAATTGTCTAGCAATAAACATGGAAAAGAAGCAACAACAAATTGTACTCGAAAAGCTTTTGTACATTTTAAAGCAATCGTGAAGGAATTTGAATTTATATAATTAATTAATGTAGCGACAACCATTTCCAATTGCATACATACACACACACACATATACACCTTAATACATGTTGTAATCACACAAACAGTTACAAATACAATAACAATTAGTAAGCTTAATGAACATTTTTTAAATACTCAAGTTGTTAGCGAAAAACATTCCCTACACAAGCCTTTGTCATGCAGCGATTTGTTGCACATTTTCTTATGTATAAGTATGCATTTAGAAAAAAAATATATATATATATATATAAATAAAAAATAAGCAAACGAATTTTTTTTATTACTCAACTGCAAATGTTAAGGTTAACACTGCTTTTTTAGTATTTTTTCTTGTATTTTGCATTTTGTTATTTTGTAAAATAAATATCAACTAAGCAATAGAATAGTTAATATTAAGCGCAATTGTTTGTTAATGATTACCCTGAATCACGGTAATAATAAAATTACATTTATAATTTTACTGATGAATTTCCAGTGTACTAATTAAATTATTAAAAATTGCAGATTGTAGAGGGGAAATTTTTCTTATTTTTTTCAAAAAACTTTGATGACAAAATTTACAATATTCGCATTTTTTTCCTAGTTCAAAACTAAAATTAAGAAGCATGGTCACGTAACCGATCTGTAACTCTTATGTTGGATAGGAGTTAATTTGAAGGGGCTGCTAGGCTCACTGTGGTGTCATTGAGAATTCCTTTTAGCTTCCATCCATTAGTGTAATCAATGTGTTACTCGCTGTTTCGCTCAAGTCTTCAAACCTTGTCTTCCCTAAAGGCTTTAACGTACTCCTCCACAGTACGGAGCATACACAAATGAAGTGCCTTAAGGTCTCAGGTTTTTCTTTCTCATTATTACGCCTGCAGAGGTAATTTTATCGCAAGAAGATTCACCGTTTATAGACACATGAACAACTCTATTATTTTTACCGAGAAAAAACACTCTCGATCTCTTCTTATTTCAAGTCAGCCCCGTTGCGTTGCAGCCACAGAGACTATTCGATATTGAGTTCGAATATAAGCTCGTCCGCCATCTCGTTACCTGGTACGTTACGGTGGCTTGGTACCCATACTAAGTTCAAAAAGAGCAACTGGGCCATCGCTTTTAGTTATTTGTGGCAGTTCTCTACCGCACTTTTGATTTTATAGTAATAGTAAGCAGTTGACAGTCTTCTGTATGGCTACCAGTTCCGCTTGAAAAACTCTAAAGTGTTTCGAAAGTCTGTGAAGATCCCATATTTCTCTCAGTAGACTCCCCTACCTATCCTGTTTTCTAATTTTGACCCAAATGTGTTCAATTAGATCTTGTCTGCTTTTGCTCGAACATATCCGTACCAATGATTTCTATTTGGAATCACCATCAAATGTTTTTTTAATATATTTGAAAGCAATATTTATGAAAATAGTAGAAAATAAAAAATCAGTAAACTTAAGTTAAGCAGTGGAGAAGCATGTCACATATTTCTACTGAGAACTCAGTAGATGTGGCGGCATCATTCCCATTATGTCAATGTAGTAGATAAAAGCGGAACTTTCATAGCCAGAGCGGACCACACCTATCTGAGGCAGAGTTCCACTAATACGTATGAAAGCTTTCCTCTGTATTATTCTCCACTGTTGGCCACCAGATAATTACTGCGTAGGAAAGTATAGGCTTAACCACCGCAATGTAAATCTCATTTCTGCCTAATGACTCGTTTCCATAGAAAGCAATAGATGCTTTCCGCCTCTGCTCCTTTAAGTTCTGTAACCAGTTTAGTTTCTTATCCAAAATAAGTCTCAAGTATTTCGCAGACTAGGTAATATGCAGCCTCTTTATTGAAGTTAGTAACTTCGGAGTCTCACCTACTGTTTTATAAGTAATCTCCACTTTGTAGTACATTTACATGGTCGGCTCGGCCATGTCTCGCGGTATAATTATTTCAAGTAATATTATTTTGTCATTTTTAGACAAATTTTCATTATTTAATTAGAGTTGTTTGTAATTATTTTAAAAAGTCTTATCGCTCCCGGCCTGTTCAGGAATAGAAAGTTGGCAGGTTCCTAGTTCAAATACAGGACTGCTCTGATATCTAACGGTAACTCATTACTTACAAGACATATCTTAACCACAAAAATTTAACCCTCATGTTTCCTTCTTCCATCCATTTTGTTTCTCTAAAGTACCTCATTAGATCCAAGACTTTGAAGTCAGATATCTTTGTTAGATTATCCAGTAGTAGAGTGCCGAAATTCCGAAACCTTGCCCTGATCAAGGCAGGACAGTCGCATAAGAGCTGGTTGATCGTTTCCTCCTCTTCATTCTCCTTGCAGCAACATAGAGAGGGCCCCTAGTCTTTTTGCGTGTCATTCTATGAGACAATGGCAAGTCTGAGCTGCTATTACTTTGGCCAAATCACCTCTTTTTAAGGAGTGCATTTCTCGTGATTTTTTCTGTTCTCATTTTGCTCATGTGTGCCTGGGCGGCAGGTTGTAATGCCATGCCACCTTGTAGCGGCTTGTGCAAATAAAAATTCCTTGAGAAACAGTCTGCAATTAAAATTATTTAAACTAACATGATGTTAATTTCGGTCTGTGTACGATTTTTTTTGCGCGAAAATAAATATAAATAAAAAGTAAAAAATTAATTTTAATTTTTGCATGGGAAATTTAACAATCTTTATTTTTTATCAGAAAATTAAAACTAAAAAAAAATTATTATATTTGATGAAATTTTTAAACTCAAAGTACAATGAATATTTTTCCTGGAAAAAAGTAAAAGTCAACACCAAATCTTTATTTGTTAACAAAAAACTTATACATGCATACATACATACGCACATCTGTATATCGAGATTATGATTATTCAAATTTAAAGCTGATTATAATATATTCATTACTTTGAGGGGGAAATGTAAAAATCGAAATTAAAAATAATATCTGTTCTAAAAGCAATATGTTCAATCTGTTTTTTTTTATAAATCTCATACTGATTACCATTCATGTTAATAAAGATTGTTTTCACTTTTTTTATGGCACAATAATTAAGCAAGAATATCAACAGGCATTTCCCAGCTATAAACCGAATAAAATATACTCAAGTAAATGATAAGAAAAAACACGTTTCCATAATATATTTTTTATTTATTTATCTTTCGCTAGTAAATAACGTACAACGTACAAAATTGTATAATAATAATAATAATAATAATAATAATAATAATCACCATCTACATACATCATATTCAATCATCAAAAAGATCTCAACATCCTCAATTTCATACTCATTAACATAACAATGCATATTATTGTACATACATTTCTTTTTAATAGTTGTTTGTGTGCGCGCATTTTCTATTTGAATTTTCACATTTCTCATATAATTTTGGATAAACCACCAATGGGAGTGTATATATATATACAAAGATACATAAATATGCATGTACATCTGTGCATGGGTATTTTTAATAATTTTACATCAACGTTAAAATATATATGTATGTATTTATACGTATTTATAACATTAACATTTTATATACGCGTGTATTTAGGTATTTTTGTTTGTATGCATTTTGGAGTGCAAGGTAGATTTTAGAGAAATTGGAGTCTGTTTTAGATACTATCACTTTACTCAAACAAAATAATTAGAATTTCTCTTCAGCTTCATCATACTTCATTTTTAATTATAATAAAACAATAAATCAATAGTTTATACATACATATATAATATTTATATTCATAATTAAAATGCATAATAAATAAAATAATACATATCAAATACAAATCATAATTTTTTTTTAGTTTCTTTCAAACTTTTCGATATTGCATCGCAATTAGCTGAACATCAAATAACGGTGAAATTAATATTTTCTAGTGATTTCTAAAGAATTGAGAGTATATACATATATACGTATATTAAATAACCGTATAAATTGAGAACAGGAAATACGAATTTAGTTGGCAATTTAAATTTGCCGCAATTAGTGGCCAATCAATGGAAATGTTCTAAGTGTTTGTGTTTGTCTGTGTGTACACGTATGTGCAAATGTATCACTATTTTTTCAAGACCGTGGCGTTACAAGCGGGATTATGCAAACTTAATTATCTAATACATCCGTATGTACACAAATCTAAATAAGTAATTGTATACAAATATCTATTCGATGCAAACATATTACAGTTTTAAGATTTTTTATGTATCTTTTTTTTTTTTTTAATTATTATGGAACGCTTTGCTGCAGGGGCGTTCGTCGCTTACTCGTATGCCATAGAGATTCGTTCAGAGCAGTTACTTTTTTCTTTAGAAGTTGTTACGTTATTGGAAGCGTTGCAGTTAGCGTTAATAACAGTATTAAGAGGCATCGATTCCGCTTAGAGTGGTTTGACAATTTCACTTCCTCAGTGGATCTAAACTTTCCAACGTAAAGTCATCGACGCTCATCATCTTACTCTAAAAGAAATAAGAAAATATATTATTTTAACAGTTTAACGGTTGCCTAACTTATTTCCAAATTAATGGTAAAAGCAATTAAAGTATTAATGAGCATTAAAGGAGAGAGAGTGAGGAAAGAGTGTTTCTTTGGGAAACTAATTTACTTTATTTATGCTTGAGAGAATGAAAAATTAAGTGAAAAATGAATTAAATTCTTCGCAAAAACAACTACATGGCGCCAAGTTTTGCAGCTACAGAATATCTGAGCACTTGATCGTGGATATGCAGGTAATAGGGCAAAAGTGAAAAACAACAATAAGTGAAAGCTTCAAATATGTAGCTCAATGGAATAACCATTGGCTCGTGCTATGGGTATCCCAAGTTCGAATCCAATTCGATCAAAGGTGTCTGGAAAAATAAGTCTGATCGGTTTTTGGTTTTGGTTCCCGAAACAGCAGCTATAACTTCCACCGTCCAAAACTGTTTTTGTAATTTTTCACATATTCCCAAAAATATATAGTCTGAGACGGTTCCATAAAACTAAAACTCAAAAACAATTCTACAGAATAATGACCTGAAACTGCATCGAAAAGTTATAGGAGTTATAGGAGTCCTGACAGGCTACTATCTGATAGTGCGTCACGCAGGAAGACTAGGGGCGGATAAAGGAGGATAAAGAGGAGAAAACTATCACCCATCACTTATGCGACTGTCCTGTACTAAGCAGGGCGAGGTTTCGTAATTTTTAGCTGACGTCATAGTCATGGATCTAATGAGATTCATTAGGATGGTTTAAGTTTTTGATGTCTACCATAACGGTAGAAATTATCGATTAACGATTTTTCGATGCAACCTTGATTTAAATAAGCGGTTGGTGACAGGCGATGAAAGGTGGATCCCTTCCGATAACGTCAAACGAAAACGGTCGTGATCGAAACGCGGTGAGCCTGCGGTAACGTTGGCCAAGTCAGGATTGACGGCCAGCATGGTTTTGCTGTGCTCTTAGTGGGATTGGCTGCTCCCATGTGGCAAAGCTCTTAACTCGGAGTTGTACTGTTAACAACTGGACCGTCTGAAGGAAGTAATCGACCAGAAGCGGCCAGACTTGGCCAATAGGAGATGAATTGTGTTCCATTAGCACAACGCCAGGCCACACACATCGATAGTGACACTCGCCAGAAGCTTCAGGGGCTTGGTTGGGAGGCACTTATGCCTTATAGTCTGGACCGGGTACCAAGTGATACCATCTGTTCCTGTCCATGGCGAACAATTTTGCTGGCGAAAAATTCGCTTCAAGAGAGGTTTGTGAAAATCGACTGTCTAAATTTTTTGCCAATAGGAACGAGAGCTTCTATGAGAGAGGCATAATGAAATCACCTTTAAAATAGCAACAAGTTATCGAACAAAACGTCGCATTTTTGACCTAAATAAGATCATTCTAATCACGGAATTCATATATAATTGGCGCTTTGTAACCCCGGAAGCGATTTTCGGCCGAGCTTCTCCCTTAATTTGTAGTTTGCTGTTTTTTTCTAAAAAAAAAATTTTTATGATTTTCATGTCAGAAATACAACCGAAGCTTTTGATATTCACTGCCGAGCGGCCACCGCAATTAGAAGGTTATTTTTCTATAATTAGGATATTTAGTCGGCCTTGGGCTTGAATCCTGGCCTTCCGAATGCCAGTACGAAATACTAATCATTCAGTTAATGCGACCGCGGCTTGTAAAAATAAAACAATATAAACATAAATGGAGCCACCACAAACAGCAGCATCATCATTATTATTGTTATTATCATCTTTTGCTCATTAACTTACCTTGAAAATACTGGGCCCATTATTTATTTCGAACGGATCTGAGCCGAATAAATCCGTATTGCCGTTGGTCACGGCTACGTTATTATTGTTGTTGCTTGTGATGTTGTTCGTGACCGATGTACTGCGTCTAGGTGCGGCCACTTTAGGTGGAGGTGCCACTACATAATTCATTCGAATGCGATATATAGCGAGCAAAGAGAACAGAAAATAATAAAAGTCATTAACAAAACAAACAATAAAAAATAAAGCAAACAAACAAAATGATCACAAGCAAAAAAAAAAAAAATTAATTAATTAAAATAAGATGAAATTATATGTACATATGTATGTATGTATGTATAAAGAAACACAAATAATATGTATGTATGTGTGTATATGTATAATATGTATTGTAAGTAATATGTATGTGCATCAAAATAAATACATGCATGCATACAAATGTATGTTTGCACAGAGCAAGATGACAAGGAATGCGATAATGATTTCTCTTTTTTTTTGTTAATTTAAACGCGTATAGAATCTGTGTGTGTTTAAAAACATTTGTTTAAGCTGTGCCAAATTAATGTACGTACGTAGTAAATACATACATATGAACATTTATTTTAGTGTATGAATAAAGGTAAATACTCGTATCATAGCATTAGCTCAGCACTTACGTAATGGTGGCGTTAGATCATTTGAAAATCCATTGCTGGTGTTGTTGTTGCTGTTGTTGACACTAACACTGTTCAAATTTAAATTAATGCCATTGTGATTATTGTTCATCGATTTACTATCATTGTTATTGTTAATAATATTATTGTTCTGATTGGTGAACAATTGTTGGCCATATGATTTGGACGGCTCAAAGCCGAACAGATCGTTACTGATGTTCTTTCCGCCACCACCGCTGCTGCTGCTACCGCCATCGACACACTCATCGGCGCGCGGATCAAAATCACTATCGGAATCAGAGTTTAACAGCAACTCCTCCATTTTTTGGCTATTCGATTTATGTATAATTTGGTTTTGTGTATTGTTGCGCGGCGGCACAATTGGCACAAAGGATGACGATGAGCCGGATGACGATTTCATTGAATGCGTCGAGTTTGTGTCAATCAACAATTTGTCCTCAAGCACTGCAGAAGAGAAAGGGGGGAAAGTAAGTGGGCAATTAAAAATATGCACATATATACATACACACAAACAAATGTTTATGCGATTTGTGGTATTTTTACTTACTATTCGCTTTGTTGCCATTGCCATTGGTCAAAGCTCCATTCTCCGGAGCAGGCAAATCCAGAATATCTTTGATACCCATTTTGAATAGCATTGCATCCAACTCGGATTTTGGCAGTTTTAATGATAATTCGCGCAGTCGACTTTTATAAATGGCTAGCGCTTTCTCCAGCTCGACATTTTGCTGCTGTGCCTTTCCCAAATCCGTCTTTTCCACACTGTTTATGTATTTTCTGTAAAAACGATTGTTATAAGAAATAGTATAATATCAAGATGGTGGTAATTCAGGTTAGGAAAAAAGGGCAGAATCTTGACAAGAAACCAAATGTCTCCGTATATTGAGATCCACTGGAATGAAGTTGTAAAGGACTATGTCTATATATCGTTAGCCTGGAGGGCAATCGAAAAAGAGGTGGTGCTAACAGGTGCTGCTTCAGGCTCGGTAGGCTAGCAAAGCCTTTTCTAATTCGACGCGCTTAACATCTCTCAACATGCTCGTCATTTTGTATGGCGCAGAATATTAGACGATGACGAAAAATAATGTGAATGATTAAGGAGCAATCAAGAGGTCATAGGCACTGTCCGTGTAAGCGAAGGGTATTGAAGAAAATGTAATCATCAACTGTTTGATTGAAAAGATCGCAGTCACCTGGAGTGGACCACGAAAGCAAGTGCCTATCACGCAACTTGGAAGGACTAAGCCCGGAAGGATCTGACTGCTCTTGGAGCTTCGCCTAGGAGAAAAGAGATTGGCGCAGTTTTTTAGTTCTCAACCAAGTCCGAGAAAGAAAGAAAGGTAGAATACATATTTTTTAGAGAATATGTTTCATATAAGGCCGCAAGGTCCAGCGGTCGTCCATAATAGAGCAGAAAGCTATTTAAGAATCAATTGTTGTAATACATTCCATTTCTTTTCGGTTACAGCCAAGCGAAATCTCATTATTATTTTTCGTGTTATTCTTTAACTGTACCAAGAAATTTCTCGAATCACGAAAAACTATATTTATTGATTATATTTTCAAGTATGATGGGATCACGTGAAAGGGTGTCAGGATAAAGTTTGAGATGTTCAACTGGTTGTGGCCAGAAACAATTTTTTATATTCAGTTAGCTCACAACTTTCGGTTTTAGAAATTACTCTTAGACAAAAAATAACCGTATTCGGGTAAACGTAAGTAAAAAGGCGAAAGGCGAAGCCCTTGCAGCTGTGCTTAAAGTTTGGGACTCGCCGCATATAAAATCTGCTTCAATTTAAGCAATATAAGCCTCGGCTCAGAATCCACTGTCAACGTATCTATTAATAATCAAGGTCATTCATGAGGGCGGGTGGGGGCAAAGAGTATATTCAGTCTAATAGTAAGCTGATCGAGTTCACTGCACCAGTTGCAAAGAACGTACATTAACTACAGCCAGTTTTTTAAGCGACTTGCGCTTCTGCTCTTTCAGAGCAATCTGTGGAATAATATTTCAAACACCCTACGTACCACCGCTAGAGAAACATTCACCTTTCGACCAATTTGGCGATTTACAGAAAGATTCAATTCCGTACCGTACTCATGGAGGCATCAAGGAGCTAATATGATGACCGATATCGAGAACATATTGAGTTTTTGGAAGTAAGACTTGCAATAATCGCAGATAATGAACCCGGAATTCGAGTAACGAACACAAAGCGGAAACTGACGAAAGGAGAAAGTGCATGCATCAGCTTCTTATCGACGCCAATTATAGTGAAATAAGTCTCCCTTATACCGCTTATAATGTGTTATCTAGCTTACTGCGTGAAATATTAAAGGTCAACGACAACGAAATGACTTGGATCTTATGAATGGCTGAGTGCCTTGTGCCAAATCTTGCTGTATACTTGTGAATAAAGAATCTTCTCTTCCTTGATCTTAAAGTGGGGTCGTTCATAATCTCGTTGGCGGTGTCTGGCATGTAAGAAGAAGACTACAAACAAGGGTGTAGAGATAATAACTATTCTTAAATTATTAGCCCATACATAGGTCATGGCGGAGATAACGGAAACTATATATTAGCTCAAGTACCTAATCTTAATAGTTTCCAAATACTTTGTGGCACATTTAAGTTGAATTTATAAAAGTGCGTAACAACTTAACAATTGAAGTCATTTAAGGCGTGAAGCAGGTGCTGTCCTTGTACTCAAGGTAAACTTATCAGGCTGATTATATGCAGTTTACGGTAAAAATGATTTCTAACTTTTCCTTTTACTACCTTCCTACATTATTTGAAAGATCTTGAAGGTTTTCTTGTTAGAATAAATTTCTATTAACTCACTTGTAGGCCAAATCGAACGCCTGTCCAATGGTCAGTGTAATGTCTGACGCCAATTTATTTGAAATGAATACGAAGCACTCATGTGTCTCCTCCGTATTACTACCGCCAGTGCTGTTATTGCCAATGGAACTGCTCACGCCATTGCTACCTGTCATGGCGGTGCTACCGTTCATAACGCCGCCATCTATCGGCTTAACTGTTTTCGCAATAAAACTGAAAAATTTCTTCACACCCTTCTCATCTGCACAATACGATATATTGTGGAGCGGGAATTGATGTAGAATTTTCTGTGTACGTGGCTCTTGTACGGCAACACCATCCACACTGATGGTGATCTCGACCTTTTTACACTTTTCCTGAGTACCCGTTTCGGCTTTCTTCATCTCCTGTGCGAATTGCAATTTGCGTATGGCATCTTTGACCACTTCAATGCCTTTGGCCTGCTCCACAGGTAAATTACCAAAGAACTGAAAGATTAAAATTTTTTTTTTTAGTTTTTCAATTTACTTAAAGGATTATGAGAAGGTGTGAGCGCATACCCACACACACACATATGTATATACACACTTACCTTGACTAGATAGACGACGTGGCCATTCACGAGCGCATCTGGCGTGTGCAGCCAATTGCGTTTGTCCTTTTTCGCCTCCTCCGTCGCACCGTTGGTGTTGTTTTTACTATTATCATTTGATTGATTTTTTGTGTTATTGTTGTTGTTTTGCTTATTCCAAAACATCAACTGCGACATGTTGCTGAGTGGTGCGCGACTATTGTTGCCGAGGAGTTGATGTGTCGGCTCTGCAACGGTTTTGCGCTTAAGCGGACTGAATTTCTGCGCCGTTTTGAAGGAGATTATATAAAAACAGCACCAAACGAAAAATTGCAGTGGAAATCTCGAAAAAAAATCCGAAATCAACAGTCAATGATCTTGTTTTTGCTGCGATGCCTATAACGAGAAAGAAGAGGAAGAGAAGGAGAAATAGTAAGTAAACATTATTGCAAAATTAAATTTAGTTAATAAAAATTCATTTGCTAGCTAAGAGATTGCAATAAAAATACATATTCATTTACATACAATGGGGAAAATAAAAAAAATTAGCAAAGTTTATACACGAAAAAAATTTAAATATTGCCAACGCTCATCTCAAGTGTGCACAGCCACCCTAATTTATGTGTACTGATGTGTATTTATATGTACATACATATATATTATACGTATGTATGAAGATTCATTGTCAACTGCCGTTGGAGCTCACAGAGATTCAAGATCAACGATCAGCGAGGCGGCTCCGCAGCTTAGCGATTATGGCCAATGTGTCGTTGACACAGTTATCGCTGGCAACACCTGAATCACCAATTATTTATTGCTAGAATGCAAATATTTTGATTGCTTTTGTTACAAACAGCACCGCTTCGCTTTAGAGGAATTTTGTTTTCTTCAACCAAACGAAAATGGAAAATCCACATGCTTACAAAACAGCTACTGGCACAACGTACATACATTTGTACATATGTATGTACAGAGTGTGCACCGCCATAAGTGTTGGATGCAAGCAGCAGTTAGCTGCTGGGTAATCAATAGTCGCCATCTTACTACTCATCCACTCGCGCGTTGAAATGACGGAGTGATCGCCTCAGCACATCATGTTTTCGCGCATGCATACATTCAGATATATGACTATACATATGTACATATATAAATACATATATACATAAATATGTGCAAGCTAACTAATTAACTGAAACCAGACGAATTGTTGAAATTCTAAGCTTTGACACTCAAGCATTGCATCGTGCACCTCTAGTGGCGGCATCAATTCTCAAACTTACTTCTATATACATATGCATTATTAACATACTCGTGTGCATATAAATATCGACATACATATGTACATAGGCAACGTTTCAAAACGACATAAACCACACCGTCCGATAATCCCAGACAGCAAACGACAGGTCCCCATCAGCCCAGGCAACGACTGATGTGCGATCACTTGTCACGATCAGTGTTGGAATACAAAATATCTGTTGCGTCACTGTTTGCGTTTTAAACATTTTGTTTTGTTTAGCTTCTTTAGTTGTATTCACCCATTTTTTCGTTTAATTTCTAATTTGAAAACTGGTATGAATCTTAATTATTATGAATAGACATGCTCATAATACATAATTACATATGTACATATATAAAATGTTAAGTCGTCAAAACAAAATAATAATCGCGTACATTAAGAAGGCATTAACCATCGCATTCGCGATCTGGCGATTGACACCTAATAAATAAATAACTTGATCTGATTTCTAACTACGTCGTAGATAATTTTTGGTGTTCATTTGTATTGAGACAAACAGAAGCAATAAATAATTAATAATAAAATTTAAGAAATAAAAATAATAAAATAACAAAATAAAAATAATAAAATAAAGGCAATGCGTCGAGTTCACCAAAAACAGCAGGGGTTAGCTCTACAAGGTGAGAAAAATCAGTAAAAATTAGTCTGTAACGAAATGTCAGTAAAATTAGTAACAATTGTTACTGCCTTATCACCTTACCGAACAGAACTATTGGGTTGGAAGAACATAAAAGTGTAAAATGATCTTACAAAAAGTACTCGTTGCCTCATACAATTTTGTTGACTACTAAAAATTGTAATGAAAAATATTTTTAGTGAAATGAGCAAAGATTTTTTTCTATTTTATTTTTTCGCTTTTTGCAATGCGTAATAAAATAGTAAAATTGTTTTAAAACTCTGACGAAACACCTCAGCAGTTATCAGCTGTATTCTGGTGTTTAAGTTTATGTAGATAAATTTCTGCTTTCAGGATGCGTCGCATATTTTTCGGCGATTGGTAAAAAACCGCGTCGTAAGACGAAACCTTTGAAAAAGGCTTCAATCAAAATTCTGTTACTATAAATCTTGGAGCACAAGATTCTGCTTAAAAAGTATTAATTCAGCTTTGTAAAAGTGGTGCTTTTCAATTTAATGCTTTTTCTGCTACACTTTCACGAAATATTATCTGAAAACTCCCATTTTAATATTTCGATTCCTGAATATGAATTCACAAATTCACAAAAAATTCTCAAAAATTTATGGAGGATGTAAAGGTTTGAGCATGAGTTATTTGATACAAATGAGTTGAATTGATCTAGTCAATTTCTTCTGTCTGGATGTCTATTCGTTTGTTTGAACTCAAAATAGTGTTTCAGATTTTGATTTATTTGCTGAAACCACATAAAAAGATCGCAAAAAAAGCAAAGAGTTTTCCAATAAAAGGTGTTATTTTGAATAGCCTGCCATTCCGGTAGATGTCGCCAGTAATAAAAATTGAACGGTAAACGCTTCAACGACGCATTGAAATAATTAAAACTCACTATTCAAATTCCTTCGAAAAATCATCTTGACTGATGAGGCCCATTTTCCATCCTCAACGTGTAACTGTCATTGGACCTTACTTTTTCGAAAATGAATGAATTGCGCTATCAAGATATGATTAATGATTATTTATTGAATGGTATTGATGTGGACATTGTTTACCTTCAACGACTCAAGCAACGAAATCATCAATATTTCAAGGGTAAAGTTCCATGGATTATCAAAATAACAGCTCTTATTGGAAAACCCTTTGCATAGTGAATATCAAAAGCGAAATACTTTTCGTTTCGTTTTTCAATATTGAAGTTGAGATGTTTATCATATTTATACTGAGCAGCATGTATAAAGTTTGGCCAGAGAACATACATATATTAAAGAAAAGGACCTTGACGTGCCGATTGCAATTTGTTCCACCTACGGGATTGCTATGAGACCATTTCACCTCTATACGATATTAGTAAAATACTATTTCAGAGCAATTTAGCAGCGAACTACCAGACGCGGACAAAAAATATTTACAGAAGAATGATATTTGGGAGACAATAATTTTAATTATTTATTATTATCTTGCTCAAAAATGTTGACAAACAGAGTCAATTTTTGGCGCCAGTGGTGAAATAGTCTCTTATTTCTTTCGTCGATTCTGCTGTTTACATACTATCCGCAATCGGTCCTTATCGTATTTGACGTTCGCTGGTTTGACCACTTTGACGGTCTTTTACTCGATGTATAAAGTCGATAAAAATTTGTGCGACTCGCGGTTTATGATCGAGAGAAATGTTAAAGACAGAAACACTTGTAAAATTATAATAAATTCTCATCTCAATTGTGGAAAGGCATTTCAAACACACAACGCAAAGTTGCAAACGAAGCTATTGATTTTCGGATTGATCAAAAGTTAATATGAAGCATATTACAGCGCAGAAAAACAATTCTGCCGAACTTTCAACGCTGCGATTCACCCCAAAACGTGCTGGGTGCAGTAGATACCGAGAGTAGAGAAGAGAAATGAGACGCATATGCGGACAGAAAATACCGAAATGTGTTATGCGTGAGAGTGAATAGAAATTCTACAAAAAAATGCGGCGACTTACGGATGGTTTTAAGGCCGAAGCATACGCATGTATGGAACCCCAAAGTGGAGATCACACGACTGATGCCAAGTGTATGCTGAATTTATAGAGGGAACATTAACTACTAAATTCTATTAACAATGGAGTATAAGGAGATGGTGAACCCGGTCCTCCAATTGTATGAGGATATAACATATTATCTCTGGTTTAACTATGATGAGGTCCGAACAGTATCTGTGGTATGCGTTCAAGGAATTTTTATGGGCCTGGACATACTGGTTATAAAACATATGCCAGTGCGAAATGGGTACACTAAAAAGTCACGCCGGCTGAGCTTCTTTCTCGATTTGAGTGTCATCTCGATGATTTTTCAACAAAGGGAGGAACCAAAAGTATTTTTTAAGTCGCTTCAGAAGGCGACTGACAGACTAAGCTATTAGAACTTTCTGCCGCGTGTAGATTTAAAAAGATTTCTTTTATATATTCATAAATTTTTTGTATGTAGAATAAATCACAAATAAATATTTACGCATATATATTTATTTATAGTTTATCATAAATTTATCTCCATTAAAACAGATAAAAAGTTTTACTGCAGGAAGCGACGTTATCTCTTTTTCACTACAATACAGCGGCAGCGTTGGGGAGCGACGTATATCAGTTCCGGTACAGTAATTTACAATATATAGACATGCTTGCATTTTCGTGGTATGAATGAATCTTAGAAATTTAGCCACTCATACATATGTACTTAGTACACACAAATATATCTAAATCTCCATATACTTTGAATAATAAAGATACAAATTCTCCATGATGCCTCTCACAAATTTAGTAGCATATATATACGTATATATATAAGTACATATATGTTTGTGCTTTCGTTATCTATAACTAAAACTGTGCTTAATATATCTAAATTGGAGCTGCTTACGGCCAGGCACGTTCATGCTATTCGTTTTGATTAGATTAAATTTTTGCTCGAACACAAAGCTAATGCTCAGCCGCTTATTAAGAATGTGATTTTCGAGGCAGTAATTTTCAATGGAAATATGAAACAAGCACGGCTTTTAAATTAGTCGTGCTAAATTTTACATTATTGGCAATGTAAGTGATTAAAAAACCGTATTTTTTTAGTGGAAATAATTTTAGAATTTTTTTTCTTACTGCAATTACCATTATTTACATTATAATTCGATATTCCACAATAGTCGTCTACTCAAGTTAGTGTATGCATTCGGAGATCTAATAGAGTCTTCATTTGGATTATAAACATTATGAGTGAGTACTTTCTTCACTAACAT